GCACCTATCTTACCTTTGATGTTTTTTTGCCTAAATCCCATGTTGGTTAGCAATTATAAGGCGAAACACCTTCTGCGAGAGGCAATACTAACCCCCAAATTGTTGTTTAGATATATGGATGACAATTAAGTCATCTGGCCTCAAAGTAAGAAAAGTTTAGATAGTTTCCTACTTTCATTTAACCATCGTGAAATGAACATTAAGTTCACAATAGAAATCAAAGAGAATAAGTCTTTGCAATTTTTTGATGATCTGATTACTAGGGAAGAGAGTAAGTTAGGAATAGATGTTAAAAGCAAACTAACATATGTTGGCTCTTTTTCAATTTTTTTTCCAATCATAGTTACACAAATAAGGTTGAAATTTCGAAGTCACTGATCATTAGAAGTGTGAGATTAACAGATAACAACTATTCTATTATAGATGGAACGGTTGACAGATTTATTCCTGGAAAAGAATTATCCCTGGGGCCTAATTGGAAACAATATCTCTTTACTGAGAAATAAATTCGCAGATGGAGAATGTTTAGTCAAAGACAGACAAGAGAATAGATTTTCTCATGTTCTCGTTTTGCCGTCATGCTTTATGTAAAATAAGATAGAACTAGTAAAAAAGTGGAGGATAAAAAAAAGTGTAGATAACCCCCCACATATTTTTCGGTTAGAAACACGAGAGAAAGAGAGAGAAATATGATCTATTATAGGTATTCGGATGCTACAAGATTGTTTACCCCTGTGGTCGGCCTTATCTTTATGAGATATGGAGACTCATTTGACAAAGACTAGAGTAACACAAAAATACTTGTAAAGCGAGCTGGGTTCAACGGTCAGAAGTGCCTGAACATACGGCAAAGAGTGAACATGAGATAGAATGGTCTCAAACGAATAAGTTTGCTGATTCTGATGCGTTTTCTGTTAAAAGGAAGATAAGAGAAGCGAGTTAAATTGATATATTAAGGAATACATAGAATGTAAAGAAAACTGGTAGAAAGTAAAGTTAGAACTACTTAGGTTTTGAGCCGCCATCCAAAAGAAGGAGGCTCAACTTATCTGCTCACTGATTGCTCTAAATTCACTCACACTCGTCCACTCATTGAGCAAACCAAACGTACGAGATTACGCAGCTCCAGTAATGCCTTTCCTTGGGTGGTTAAACATTAATGATCCTAGACTCAGAGGTTAGGACAGGTGGCTTCATAACTTGACTTGCACACTTACAAGCTTACATCCATTATCTCAACTTGCTTACGGATTTACGCAGTCTCGGTCAGGGCTTTTTCTTGGGTCTTAAGCCTTGAATACTAGAGCCTGACATTAGCCTATTTTGATCACTATGACTTAGGACTGATATTGTATCTAGACGTTAATACCTACACACGCACACTCGAGCAAAAGTAGCACGACCAATATGAAAGACAATTAGCCAAATAATTATATATCCATTTATACCTTTTTATTTCTTTCGCTCAATTGAGTCTATATAAGAGGTAAGATAGGGCCGGATAGTCTTATTGACCTAGTGTTAACTTGAGTCGTTTACAAGAATGAGTTCAAGCTCTGATGATGTCCATTATACAATGGACGAAAGTTCAACCCGTTTTCATCCGAAGCAAGGGAGGATTTATCAAGGACTGCGTCAAGCTTAACGTGTTATTTAAGCCAAACTACTGCAGTACAACAGGATTCAGCCGTCGTCTTCTTGTGAGATCAACCTACGACTCTCTTCTTCATGCACTTTCAGACGAAATGGTAGTCTCGACAACAATATTATATACCCCGCAAAATAAAAATATGCTTGGATAATATGAAAAGCATGTATGAATAAGCCAATCGGTCATTTAACTAGTTGTCCCTAAATGGATATACAATTTATATCTGTCCGCCATATGTCAGATGGAGGTTTGGTACGTTTTCACCGAAAACGATGGGATTACCTAGGGGAGTACGTCAGCTCAGCAATCAACATGCACACTTGGATGCAAGGTAGGCTGAACTTGATATCCAAACAAATTATATGAGGTTTTAACAAGCGAGAAAAATTAGAAACAACTCTTGAATTTTGATAAAAGCGAAGAGAAAAAAACTATGTTATACCAACACTAAATACCTTTCTCAAGCCCAAACGAAGGCTTATTAAGAGTGTCAAAACTTGACCTCAAAGGATGCTGAGATGATGAATCGTCCTGCACACAAGTATCTGTGGGGATTGAATCGAAAATCTCTAGAACGACCGATGGCGAATCGATGATCCAATGAGAAGACCCAGATGAATGATCTTGGCCTAGAGAAGATGGCTCAACAGACCCAGCATGCTGGTTGACTTTCAGGTGCTCAGGTTGGACAACCAGTATATCATGCATCAATGTATGATCAGGCTGTAAGGGGGAAACGGATCGAAATTTTGGAAGACGAGATCGATCATGACAGCTAGTCTGATTTGAAACTTCTAAAAATTTCGGGGAAGGATGGGTCTTAAAAGATGATACAGCACGCAGAGTTGGTAAAGGAGAAGTTAATCTTGCAGAGGTCAGCAGTGCCAGCGATGTCGGGAGTAAAGGAACGTCAGCTGATCGGATACCTGAAGCACTTATTTCGTGAGTGATTGCTTGACTGATAACATCATTTAAAGGCGAAGAGGGAGCGCCAGTGTCCAAAATATTATTGAGTCCCTATATATAAAAATTTATTTTACAAAGAACGGAGCAAAATAGAAATTAAATATTTTCAGGTTAAAATGAGTTACTAAAACGAATCGAATTAAAAGGTAATGGGGACGAATGCAAGATCTTAAAATCAAAAAGGGATTTGAAAATTAAGAGAAAAGTGTAATAAAAAAAGGTACAATTTGTCCCGCTGGTAAAACGTAATCTTCTTTGGAGACGCTTGATAGGTTATGGGAGTAAATAAAAAATTATTCGTTTGTTTAAAGACTGACTTAATAATTATACACACAACCTCTTTTTGGAAAATTTCCGCGTAGGTCAAAAAAATTTAAAAATCTCCTTTCGTATGGAAATTGGTTGACCTTGTTTCCGCAATTTTCCATATTGGTAGGAAAACTTGGAGGAACTCCCCTAGTCCGAAGTTCATTGTATGCATGATAATTTCCAGAATCAGACCGTAGACGTTGTACATTCCCAAACGTTTCGTCGGCATCGTAGTCGGCATAATCAGTTCGTTTTGCCATTCTTAGCCCCACACTACAACTAGTCAAAGATACAAGTGAAGCCGATCCCTTGACCAATTATCTGCTAAACAATAGTAGTATACCCCCTTTCACCCTGGGCTAATCACCAATCATACAAATGTTGTGGTTCAACATTGAACCTAATCAAAGCAAGCAGTACCACTACATTTGTGGGTTGGCACACAAGAGGCTAGAGCATAGGAAGTTATAGACTTGGTATTACTGATAGAAACAGGATAGTCGCAGCGGAGACTAGAGCTAGTTGGCTAAGAGTAGGCTTGGAGTGGCAGAGGTGTGGTGCTAAGAATGGCAAGACAAACTGACTATGTCGACGAAACGTCTGGGAATGTACCACGTCCACATTCCGATTCTGGAAATTATCATGCATACAATGGACTCAGCACTAGGTGCGTTACAAATATGACAAAGTTGCGAAAACAAGATCAACCGACTTCTAAACAGTTAGTTTACTTTATAAATACTATATAGGAAAATAAATTGAATGATTTTTTATTAGGCTTCGATTTTATCAATATTTTTTGAAGCCCCTTCGTGCCTAATTGAGTATGATTGTTGTCGAGGCACTAAATTAAAAATGAAATCTTATTTGAGATCTTATTGTAAGGAAATAGGTCATTCTCGTCCGGGAGGAGCCTCAATCTCGTCCTCGGGTGCCTCCTCAGTACCATAACGAAACTATTTAAATATAATTAAGATAAAGTATATACAGAAGACAGGAATATGTAAGCGAAAAAATAAGCAATGATGTAAAAATGTAGCTTCGTTCAAGAAACCTACCCTCGAGTCAGTATTAAGAAAGGTCTGACTAGCTTGAATCTTCAATGCACTATCAGGAAGATCCAATAAATCTAAGCGTTGGCTTCTATAATAGTCTGTCAAAGCATCCTTAACGTTCTGATTCAGAAACCTTTCTTTAGAGGAATGGATAGTTTCAGGTCCAGTTTGATCCAAAAAATGGGAAGTCAAATGAGAAGCATCTAATTTGCTGTCAGGTTCTGGACTCAAAGATACTGAAACAGTGGTTCTAGAAGTGTAAATAGAAGACAATTTCTTTTGTGA